GATTCTGCCTCCCTCCCACAAAGGCTTGGGAAGGAAAAGGAGCTGGCAGCATTATAGCTGTTGGTACTAGAAAGATGGCTCATTGGTTAATAGCACCGGCTGCTGGTACAGAGGTCCAAGGTTTGAGCACCCACAGGGCTGCTCCCAACCATCTGTAACTATAGTTTAGCTGGTAATCCTTCTCCTGTTGGATTCAGTGCTCTCAAGGGTTAGTCTGGATGTTTTGTGGTGTGGGCTAATTCTAGGAGTGTCTGTGGAGTTGCAGGAATGTTCTGGGATACAAGGTGACTTTCGAATGTAAAACTGACTGTGCCTTAGCATCACCCTGTCCAGTGCCCCTGGAACAGCTGATGATGTCCGGGAGAGTGGATACCTGCTCCAGAATTCAGGTTCCTATTGGGACTTTTGATTTGGGAGTGTTCTGTCTTCTCTGCAAGTTGGGTATCAGAGCTAGTATCCCAAGAGACTTGGCACATCTTGTTTGCGGTTCACACAAACTCAGCCTTCACAGCTCCAAGTAGAATCTGATAGGCATACTGCAGCTGCAAGCATGTGACACTTGTAGACACAACTTTGAATGGGAGTCACACAATTGACAAGAGCACCAGTTGCCTGGTGCTATCCTCTTGGAGAGTACAGGCTAGCCCCCAAGTGGCAAGCTTGGGCCCTCCTTCCACACTTCTCCCCAGGTTGCAGCTTAGGCCTTCTTGAGTAAGCTTCTGTTCCTTGGTGGTCTCCATCTTCAAGAAGCTAGAACCATCCAGACAGATTCATTGTAGATGCCAAGTTGGAATTCTGAGCTCAGATATCTTAACCACAGAGGCAAAAATCTGCTTGTGTCCCAGCCCAGTCTGCAAGCCACCTTTCTTCCCTCTGTCCCAAGTCAGCTCTAGCAAGCAAGGCTCCCTGGCTGCCTCCTAGCACACTGAGCAGAGCCATCCCATTAAGGACCATTTCTTCTTGGATTGCCACTCTCCCTCTGGACTTCAGATGCTCTATAGCAGGAAAAGGCATCGGTTGGGTTGGATATATTTATGTGACTTCGGGCATTTGTGGCTATGAGTCCTTGATCATAATGTTATATGTAATGGGAACTATCTTATAAACTTGAAAAAAATAAAATTTTTATTTTCTATATAGTCTTCTCATTTGTCTTTTCTAAACAGGGTTAAACCCAGTTGCTGAGCCATGCAGGGTCCTAATCAGGGCTTTATTCAGAAAGATAACACCTTCCAATAACTGGGTCATTAATTTCACACATACAAAAAGTGGGCATTTGATATACGGTGGAAACCAAGGAATTGTTTTTATTTAAATTGTTTTTAGAATGCACTGCTTTTTAAGGTGTAGAAATGGAGTAGATTTCATAAGCTGTCTAATATACTGAAATTTACTAAAAAGAAGTCAGTCTGCTGAGCATAAGCTGAAAACTAGGAACACTAACAAACTCACATGGGCCTTTAACCTGGCCTGCTTGCATGTCACAGCCAGTTTTCCTCCATTCCTTCACAGTGGTCTGAGTGGCCTTCACTGGCTTGGAAAACAGCCAGGAAGCTTATTAGCTTTTTATTCCAATGAAGGAAATTAGAATTCACTTCTCGTTTCCAAAGATCCGATATGTCAGACCACAAGATGAATTTCCTCCAGGAATTGTGACATCCTCTCGTACTCTGAATAGTGATTGGTCTTTTGAATCACAGTGCTGCTGAAGTCGGCTGTTGCCTGTTGTCTGCGCCCTGCTCAGTTGCAAGCACAAGTTCCAAGTATTGATTGCTTTCCAAATCCCAAGAGTAAACATCTCCATCTCCTACTAACCCTTCGGTGACATGTAAATCTTTTTTCTTTTTTGGTTTTTCAAGACAGGGTTCCTTTGTGTGGCCCTGGCTGTCCTGGGACATGTAAATCTTAATGTGGTTTATTTTTCTAAAATAGATTTCTTCATGTTTAAAAGTTCTTGGTCAGGGTCTAGAGAGATGGCTTAGCAGTTAAGAGCACTGACTTTTCTTCCTGAGGACCCAGGTTGAATTCCCAGAATACACATAGCAGGTCATAACTGCCTGTAACTCCAGTTTCAGAGGATCGAACACCTTCACAGAGATTTATACACACACACACACACATGCAGGCAGGCAAAACATGAATGCACATGAAATAAATTTTTTTTTAAAAAGTTATTGGCCAGGTGTGGTGTTCCTGTCTGTAATTCTTAGAAGCAGAGGCAAGACTGTCAAGTTTAAGAGTTTGGGCTACCCTAAACTACATGTGGAGCCAACTCTCAATTGACCAAAAATACAGATCTCTCAGTGTGAGTCTTCAAGGACATTCTCTAATTACAGATAACTAATCTAGTTTTAAATCCTCTAAACTTTAAAAACAGAGCTTTGTAAGGCAGTACACACCTGTCATCCTAGCAATTAGGATGATGTGTTCAAGGTCATCTCAAATAGGACAGACCGACTGTAAAAACAAGGCCAATGTAGTAACATGGGGGGTCTGTTTTTATATTTTTTTGGTGTGTATGTTCGAGTGTGCCTGTATATGTATGTACAAAGACCAAAGGGAGGATGTTGGATCCTCTGGAGCCAGAGTTACAGGTGCTTGTGAACTACCCAGAGTGATAGAGGAGCTGGGAGGGCTCTAAACTGTTGAACCAGGTCTCTAGCTCCAGCCCTGACATATGTTTAGTTTCAGTACTTAATAGGTGGAGGCAGGAGCATCAGGAGTTTAGCCTCATCTGCATAATGCATTCCAAGCTAGGTTAGCTCTCTGTAAACCCTGTTTCAAAAACATCAAGTGTGCATCAGTGTGTTAGGTAGAATATATAGTTTTATATGGTATTTGGTTATGCATTTTAAGTAGTATAACACATTCTTAAGATTTAATACACATAACCACATTTGACAACTTCATCTGGAATACAAATGAAAGCTCAGCCAAAACTGAAATTATAAACATATCTTGTGTTTTTGAGTCAGGGTGATGTGGAATAATGTCGTGACCCAGCTTGTCTCAGCTTTAACCCACGACAGCCATGAGGTTCTACCTGAGTGGGGGGGGGGGGGGTGGGGCCCTGGAAGCTCCTAGCAACCCAGCGACGATAAAGACCAAACACAGGCATCTTGTCATCTTCAGAGAACTCTCAGTTCCATGTTGTAGAACTAGAGTCATTTCTTTATTAGCCATCTTTTCCGATGTTTCTTACCCGTCCTCTCATGACCAGGAGGGAACCATCTCTTTGTTCCCTCTCTGCTCTGGTCCTCTCCCCCTAACTCCTAACCTCCTATCCTCACAAGTTACTCACACACCTCTGCTCTCCCTGCCCAGGTGAGGGCCTATTCAGATGCTTAGGTGCATAGAGATGCAAATTAGGAGGCATATTACCCTGAGGCCATGGTAAACAATAGTAGCTTTACTGGCATTAACAATACAATAGTGGGCTGGAGCTTTCCAGTGCTCCATGTTTAGTGCAACCTGAGGCTGGATCTCAAAATATTCCATAGTGGAAATATTTTGGTCCCCCACAAAATAATGTTCTTGTTCACTGTAAAGATTTATCACTTATATTGGTTTAATAAAATGCCGATTGGCTACTTTATAGGTGGGCTATCAGAGTAGGAGAATTCTGGCAATAGGAAAGGCAGAGATGCAGTCACCAGCCAGACACAGAGGAAGGATGAGAATGCCTTACTGAGAAAAGGTACCAAGACACTTGGCTGAACATAGATAAGAATTATGGGTTAGGAATAAGCCTGAGCAATAGGCCAAACCGTTTATAATTAATATAAGCCTCTGTGTGTTTATTTGGGACTGAACTGCCACAGGACCAGGTGGGACAGGGACTTCTGTCTACACAGGGTTTCTTGTAGTCTACATGGGCCCCTGTCACTGGGGAGTTTGAACTGATGTTCTTGCCTAGAATTGTAGGTGCTCCACACCATTCCAGCCCTCTTTAGACCTCACCCTTTGTGTAAATGAGGATAATAGTGGTTTCAGGTGTGTAACCCTATAGGTGTCCATTTATAGAATGGTCCCTTCTGATGTATTCACATCTGGTCTTTCATGAGATGGTAGAGGTTGTTTTTATGCTCTTTTAACATCAACTACCACTTTGGCCCCTTTTACTGGTCTATGAAATTAAGGTCTGGAAGTCACTAGGTCCTCTCTGTCCATAACACAAAGAATGCACTGTTTCAGTATGAGAAGCACTGCCTTTTCCCGCCACCTCTCCTTGGCCCCTGCCTGCATCTCTACAGCCTTCTTAGCTGTGGGGTCAACAGCACCCCACAGTCCTCTCCCGGTGGGACTGTCCCACGGGAACAGCACCTGCAGACTCCTCTCCACAAACATACTGTAGCATGACTCTAGGCTCTGCTTGCTTCTCAGGGGCTTCAGGCTGCAGTCACTGCTAAAGCAGCTCTTCCTGCCCCTTCAGTGCCTCAGTTTCTCAGAGATGTTTTCTCGAACAGTTCTATGTAAAGCTATAACTTGCCCACAACACACACCCTTTCACCTCCCCATCTGTTTTTCTTTCAGCATGTGACACTATGTGACACTATGTGATGATACATAATTTGGTCACACTTTATTCTACCCCCATGCCAATGAGTGACTGGCAGAGCTATCTCGGGTCCCAACACTGGGAACGAGAACCTTTTCCTCTGCCTCTGGCACCTTTTTCCTGTTCCTTGTTTCACCAGACCACAGACTTCCCAGAAAAGAACATTCCCTCCCCCAGAACCATCAATGACATCCACATCCCAGGAGTCACTTCCTCTTACCCATGGAGGGCTCCCAGTACTTCACTTTCCACCCAGCCCCTCACACTCACCTCCTAATCCTAAGGATGCCACTCTCCAGGCCCTGTAGCAGAGCTGCTAGGAGAACGCACTAGAGTCTGCCCAGATGTGAGTTCTGCTGCCTGCCAGATGAGCAACCCACTCTAGCTCATGAGCTACTACATCTTGGAAAGCAAAATTAAGTCATGCTGTCAGATATCTGTACACTGTATGAAGATACACTGTTGTGATTGATTTAATAAAGAGCTGACTGGCCAGCAGCTGGTCAGAGGGTATGGGCGGGACTTCCGGCAGAGAGGAAATAAGGCATGAATCTAGGCGCCTGAGACACAAGACACAGAGGGGTCAGACATACAGAATGAAAGCTAAAAAGCCATGAGGCAAACAGATTAATATAAATGGATTAAGTTATAAGAGCTAGTGGGACAAGCCCAAGCTTTCATAATTAATAAGTCTCTGTGCTCCTTTGGGAGCTAGCTAGTGGGACAGAGAAAGGCTAAACATGGGGCTCAAACCCATGACCTTGGGATTAAGAGTCCCATGCTCTACCAACTGAAAGGGGAAATGTGGGAGAATTGTAGGTATAGCCATTCCACTGTGCCAGCAAAGCCACCTTGAATCAAAGGACGGAGTCAGTGATTGGCTGACTGGGATTAGCTATAGAGTTCTTGAAGGAATGAAGAGGTCTGCTAGAGAGGACAGGAAGAGAGAAGAGAGGATTTCTAGGGAGTTAATTAAGGAAAAATGTGGGGAGAAGGTCAGCCAGTGGGCTCTCTGTTGTCCTTGGGTTTATCAGGTCTTTATCTCAATTTCTGACTCCTGAGTTTTTATTATACTAGAACAATTTAGATAGTTATTACAAAGTCATACCTAACTCGGCCCATATCTCTATTCCAGGGATCTGTACCAGTTTTAAGGGGTTCCAGGTCCCTGCCACTGTAATAGAAAGGGTGATAGAGTGTACTTACTGGTACATAGTGGTTTGGAGAATTTCATGCGGTTTTAATAATACTGTTAAACACGTGTGCACATGTTCACTTACTCTCACAGACTGAGGTAGGAGAGACATATGCTAGCTAGAATGAAAAACACTCAATGGATAGTGCATGGCCTAGACCACAGGTCCATAAGGCACTTGATTTAAAGGTGGCCTAAGAGCCAGAGTAGAGACTGCTGCATCACGACACTGGAGGAGCTGGCAGGGTCACCGTTGGCTTTGGTCTTTGAGATCAGATTTGTTCAAGTGGGTAGGGAAAGAAGCTAGGGTGTCGGCCAGTTCAACAGTTAGAACGATGCTCCCAGAACATAAAGTGCTCTCAGCATTTGTTAACTGAAGTGGATGGGGTGGGGGTAGAGAAGACTTCTCAAGAACATCTCCTAGCATCCCAGGGCCTTCTATAGTCAGGCCAAGGAACCCAGGAGAGAATACCTCCACCAGTTAGTTACCTGAGAGGTGAGAATGGCAATGTGAGGCTTTGGTGACAGCAGCTCTATTGGTTGGAAAGGAAGAGAAAATGGCTTGTATATGACTGGCCCTTGGCCCTTCAAAGGCCCAGCTCTCTACATCGTCCTCGCTGGCTGAGTCAGACCCTGCCTCAAAAGACTCCTTCCACCTCTCCAACCTGTTCAGGCAGAGTGGACTTCTTTTTGTCCTTGGGGAAGAAGTTCTGTGCTAACTGAGTGGCACGCCTGTTATAAAGCCGCTTAGGCTTTATCACAGGAAGAAGACTTCGGGCCCCATCCACCTGGTCAGGTTCCCAGCGGCAGTGAGGGTGTAGCCAGAGGTAGTACATCAGACGCAAAGTCAGTCCTAGGAGGAAGCAGGTTCCTCCGAAAGTCAAACACAATGGCAAGAAGGTTCCATTGGGCAACGAGATGTTATGTGTTGCCCAGGTGCTGACCAGCAGAGTACTGTCACTGATGATGAAGATCAGGTGGATGGTGGACCGGCCCAGGGTGCGGCCCCCAGCCACATTGAACCAGGAGAAGTAAAGGATGATTGCCACCGTCACCCGGTACAGCCACTCAGTAGTGGAGTTTGGCATAAATTTTGTGTCTTGAAGCCAGACCCAGAACAACAGCACCAACCACAGGCTGAGGAAATGCAGGGCTATGTAGTAGGGGAAGAGAGCCGAGAACAGGGCAACGGCAAAGATTCGGGGCCACAACAGCAACAGGTTCCACAGGAAGTAGATGGCAGAGGAGCTCCAGCCCAGGCGAGGCTTACAGGGAAGACAAGTACGCAAGGACCGGTGGTAGTCCATTAGTGCCCACGAGATGCCCAGGAAGGATGTGCTGATGCCAAACCCTACCAAGAGCAAGAAGAAACAAGTCAACTTTGAAAGCAGGCTGCCTAGCAAACCCCAGGGCACGCTCGCAGAAACCGGGAAGTAGGTCCTAGAAGCCCCAAGTTGTTCAAAAGACAGTTGGAGAGGGAGAACATCCAGGTAAGTCCCAACCCAAGAGAGTGCTCTCTTTCAAATGCCACCCTGGCAGCACTCACAAGAACGGGAGGGTATGTGACAAAGACTGACAGTTCGGCACTCCTGGGCCTTGGCTATAAGCCTCTTCTAGGACCTATAGCCCTTCCATTCCCAGGGTCTGAGAACTGAATTAGCAGTTCCAGCCTCCCTTTCTCCATGTCAGAAAGTAGACAGAAGTTCTCATGGAGCAGCAGCAGGCTTCCTGAAGCTGTCCTCGGGACTGGGGGTAATAGCCTGCTTCCCCACCCCTCTTTACTCTCCGCCAGGTACAGCCTGGCCCATTACCCTGGCTTTCCCAGATCCTTTATGATAGGGGTTCTCTCCCACCTCTCGACTGCCTACCCTGGACTCCAAAGAAGCCTGGAATGGCACGGGAATGCTCTACAACACTGCGCACCTTCCTTCACCTCTTCTAACTCATTCATTCAACACAAGTTTACTGAGAGCCTAGTGTGTGCCCAGAACCTACCTGTGGCCTGGTATCAAATCTGTAGCTAGCTCCATCTCTTATCTACCCAGGCCTGCTCCTCACCCTGCAAACCTCAGTTTGAGTAACTTCTGGGGTTGCCCCTCTAGACCCCACCCTGCAGCCAGAGGTTCTGGTAACAACCCTTCCACCCCGTTAACATAGCAATTACTTGTTTCTCTGTGTAGCCCTGGCTGTCCTGGAACTCACTCTGTAGACAAGACTGGCTTTGAATTCAGAGACCCACTTGCCTCTGCCTCCTGAGTGCTAGCATTAAAGGCGTGCACCACCACCGCCCAGCCTGTTTTCTATTTTTGAGCTCCTGGAGGGGAAAAAACTGATGTGGCTCACCTGAGGTCCCCAGGTGGCCCAATATGTGGCACACATTAATGTTTGCTCAATCAAAATCTGAGAAAAACCTGTCTCATGTTCAATGGACAGTGTAGACCTCTCTACCTGGCTCTGATCTCAAGGAAATGCTATATATTTAGCAAGGGCTGAAAATGAGCAGGTCACCGTTCTGCACCTCTCTTCTCTTAAGTAAGGGGGTCTCCCAGGTCCCACTGTGAGTGACAGCAAGGAGGGTTCCTTGGGGAGCTGCTGCAGAGCTGTTTGAGGTTGAAGGGGTGGGGAACAGGAAGGGGAGCCCTGGGCTTTCAATCCAGTGTGAGGTAGAGCCTTGCCTAGTCCCAGGCTGGGCGCTTGGTCTTGAGAAAGTCCCTCCCAAGACTCCTCACTGTACAGACTTCTCTGAGGGTTTATGGAGCCTGTGAGTGTCTGCCACCTGTCTCTTCCAGTCACTCAGTACACCTGGTGTAACTATTTGTTTTAAGGCTGGGTGGAGGTTGTGTAACTTGTTCACCACTGTGTCTCTACCACAGTGACAAAGAAACAACTTGAGTGTCTGAAGGTTCTCTGTGGGAAGCAGGAGAGGTCCTGAGTGGATGTGTGTTATCCACATGAGAATGACCACATCAAAGACCCCAGTGCCTCAGACCCATGGCAATGGTATGACCCCTGGTCTAAGTACAGATGTTAAAAAACAACGGCCTTTAGCTAAAACCAGTACGCACAGAAACTTCAAATGCGTTACATTGCTGCTTCAGGGTCCAAGGCCCACCCAATCCCAGCTTTTTTGAGTGCCTGTTGTTTCTTTAGTCTGGTTGCCAGTCAGGTCAATCCCTAAACCATGCAGGTTGAAACAGTGCTCAATAAAATGTTCATTACCCAACAAGCCTATTATGTGTCAGGTAACCTATATATTTTACTTATTGTCATCAAAATAATAAAAGCCCAGCACTGGGGAGGCAGAAACAGTGGGAGTCTGTGAGTTTAAGGCCACCCTGGTCTACACAGTGAGTACCACCTGACACTGACCTCTGGCTTCTGCATATACACATATACACATATACAGCTGCAAATGCACACAAACATACATGCATACATACATATATATATATACATACACACACACACACATTATGTACCAGGCCCTGGGCTTTATATGCCACCCCCATATCTAATCTCACCACTTCACGAGACAGGTTCGTTTATTATGCCCATTGTTCAGATGAGAACAAACTGATAGTCTGAGTCACTTTTCTAACTTCATGAAGCTCGAAAATGGCTTTAGCTTTGAATCCAGATCCACTACCTCATGCTCAGTCTACCTATTTTCTTTCTGTCCACCTAAGATTGAGAACACTGCTGACACTGGAAGGGAACCCAAGGGATAGTCACTGGCCCAGCACTCACACTGGTAGTATTCAGAATTGCCACTCTGCAAAATGATAGCCAGCACCAGTGTGAGCTGTGGTGTCGCCTCCAAGAAACTCTCAAAGAGCCGCAGCATGCTGATATCCAGGGAGAGGAAGTCTGCATAGGCTAGGTCACTCTCAGTTGGCAGCTCCTGCCGCAACATGGACAGCCCCTGCTGAAGCCCCTGCAGGAACCTAGGCAGAACACACAGATGCCCAGTGGGCCAGATCAGTGTTCTATAAATTCCAGTTCTACCGCTGAGTACATGTAGGCAGGTAGGCTGCAATCCTAGCTTGTCACTTACATGGTATGGAACCCTCGGCAAGCCACCTAACTTCCCAGAACCTGTTTCCTCATCCATAAAGTGGGGGACATACAACGTCTACTCTTGCTGATCAGGCATGGTGCCCAGTTTATCACAACTCACAAAAGCCCTATTTTAGAGACAGGAAATGGAATGAAGAAGCAAATAAGGGGCCTGGGAGATGACTGAGCAGTCAACTGATTCACTGCTCTTGCAGAGGACCAGCGTTCAGTTCCCAGCACCATATAAGGTGGCCCCCTGTAACTCCAGCTCCAGGGGATCTGCCACCCTCTCTGGCCTGTTTGTAATAATTGTCCTTCACACTCGTCTGGGCTGTACTCATGTTCACAATCCCTCAGACAAAATGCAAACATCCATAGCCCCTCCCCACTGCTGGAAGCTGTATGCAGCTTTGCCAAGATGACGGGTTTTGCATCCAGCCACCCCATCCCAACCCACACCATGAAGCCTGCATCACATGACCCTGACTTCTTATTTCACTTTCTCCCATCTCACCCAAGGGCTTATTCACCGGGCCAGCACTGTGCCAGGGACTTTCTCACTGTCCTCACTTCTGGCTGAACATGGGTCCTGCCCAGTTCATAAAAAGCACACAACCCACACACATTTTCCAAGAACCAGTTTGTGTCCAGCTCTGGCTGGCTCCAGGGACACAGATGAGTCCAGCAGGACCCATCTCTGCCTTTTTCCTTCCCTGATGGGGAAGCAAATGCTCACAGAGGGCAGAAACGACAAAGCAAGGAAAGGGGGCACTGTCGTGGGAAAGCATGGGGCTGCTGCCCAGGAAGGCATGAAGCTAGCCGTGCCAGGACAATTTACAGACGTGTGCAGTTCATCTGCTCAGAACACCAGTAGCCACTATTGCCATCCACGCTAGAACACTGAGTAAACTGAGGCTGGGGAGGTTAATGACTCACCCAAGTTTCTATTCACGTTAAAAAAAAAAAAAATAGGCCAGACAAGGTGGTGCACGCCTTTAAGAGGCAGGCGGGTCTGACTTTGAAGCCAGCCTGGTCTACAAAGCGAGTTCCAGGACAGCCAGGGCTATGCAGAGAAACCCTGTCTCGAAAAAATAAAAAATAAAAAAATAAAGTTAAAATAATAAAAAATTTAAAAAAAAAAAAAAGTCATTGGGCCCGTATTCTACCAGGGACTTTCTCACTAGACTTGGCTCTGAGGGCTGTCAACCCGCTATCTCTTTCCTCGACGGGCCGGGCGGGCACTCACCTGTACAAATAGCCGAGCTGCAGCAGATGCAGCAGCGCCAGGAAACGACGCGAGGGCAGCGACCCGTGCAGCTCGGCGGGGTCGGAGGTCAGCCAGACCCAGCTGAAGAGCTGCAGCAGCACGGAGGCGAGGCCCAGCAGCGCCAGCACCAGCGCAGCCCACAAGTAACTGCCACTGCGCACGTACTGGACGACGGCCCACGTGGCGGCGACCACGTTCAGCAGGAAAGACAGGGTGCCCGCCACGCACAAGACCAGGTCCAAGAACAAATGGGAGCTCAGCGACAAAGGCATGGCCGCCCCCAGCCAGGCTCGCAACCCTGCTAGCCCTCCAGCCTCGGTCGTCGGGCAGGAAGGGGGCGGGGCAGCCTTCGGGGAGGCGGGCGGAACTTGCCCCTCTCGCCCTGACGGGGGAGGGGCCAGGCTGAGACCCCGCCCCCCCAGCCTGTCCCACAGCCCAGCCCACCGTGTCCACAGCCCAGCTACAGCTGGTTTAGATTTTGCGTTTGAGGCTGGAGGAGGCAGGAAGGGGCTGCAAGATCCCTCACGGTTTGCACTGTTGCGAAACCAAACCAGAAAACTTTTAAAAGGACCTAAGGGTTTTGCAGACCCCGTGGACGCCCAGTTCAGGTCTTGAGCAAAGACTCTATCAAGAGCACATAATCTCCAGGGCCCATCTTCCTGGTGGCTCATTTTACTGCGGTATCAAGTGCGTGTTAGTTTGATACATAGCAAAGGGAATAATGTACAAAGACATGTACCACGAGCATGCTCTGTGGATAAAACGTGAGACTTGGAAGAAATGGGCTTCTTCGGGGCCTCTCTGGTGAATCCAAATGTCCCATCCATCCTAGTTTACTCTCCTCAGACAGGGGAGATTGATAGTGACATTCATCTCTCCATGAGGTGACACTGCCCAATTTTACCGGGAGAAAGCTGAACCCAGTAAGAGGGTAGGTTGGCGGTGCCTACAGTCATAACACCACCAATACTGTTAGGCTTGGCAGCACAGTCAGCATGAGCAGGAAACCAGGCAGCAGCCTAGAGCCAAGGCCATGCAAGCAGGTAGCATAAGGGCGGAATGCCACCTGCTGCATGGCACACACATGCTCAGTGCGGCAGATGTCCCCGCAGGCTGAATGGTCATAGCTGACTGAGTTATAGACATAATAACGTTGCAGCGTGTGCTGGTCACTGGCGATGCGGGTCAGTGCCTTGTGCATGGAGCTGGTGCCTGCATCCTGCACCTGGTAGGCCTCTGTCAGGCGGTACTCCAGCTCCCAGTGCGGGGTCCCTTGTGCATTTGCCTGACTCAGGTTCAAGAAGTAGGTCACCATGTCCTGGATTAGAGATATGGGGCATGCATGGAATCAATAGTTGTTTGGTCCTACCCACAACCCAGCCTGTCCCCAGGCTCTCCAGAGCAATCATGACAGCTGATTCATTGCTGAGGACCCAGGCAGGTATGCCTGGCAGACAGCCCGTGCTTGGTTCTGATGAGGTAGCTGCACCTATACCCCCATTCTCCCGATGAAGACACAGAGGCCTAAAGAGGTTATGACTTGAGTAGGAAGTGTACCCCACAGGTGCCTGTTTGTTTTGAATATTTGTTCCCCCGCTGGTAGCACTATTTTGAATGGCTATAGAGTTTTTAGGAAGTGGATTCTAGCTGACAGAAATAGGCCTTTGGAGCTGGCTCTGGACCCATCTCTGCTTCCTGCTCAATGGCAACGAGGAGTCCCTGATACTAGCAGCCATATGCCTTCACCACCAGGATGGAGTAAAACACTCTGAAACCATGATGCTGGTGTTGGGATCACAGTGTTAAAGTAGCTTGACCTTCTCAGCATAAGCAAGCATTCGGTGGAAGGGGTGGGATTAGAACCCAGACTGCTTACCTCACTACATCTGTTTCCTGTCCCACCAAACTGGCAGGCACAGGCTCCTCACAGAAGCGCTGATGCTCAGTAAATCTTTACAGAACAGAGGGGAGTAATCATGACAGCAGTGTGTGTGTGTGTGTGTGTGTGTGTGTAAGGGGTAGGGATGGAGGGGTGGGGGACTATGGCTGGCTGACAGAGGTTATAGCACTGCAACTGATAGGGGTTTCACAATCAAACAAGACTCTGTAGGACTTGGTGCCTTCAGAACCGGAACACACTGATTACCACAGACAAGTAAGAGGAGCTGCGGTGAGCGTGTGGCCTTATGGATTCCCTCTGTGCTGTGACTGCCACTGTACAGAGGGAGCGATGAAGTGGCCATGCAGACAACAGGACATGCTCTTAAAAGTCCTCAGGCCTAGGACCAGTAAAATGGATCCTCAGAATTCACATGGGGGAAAGCAAGAACCAACTTTGGCAGGTCTTACACACACACACACACACACACACACACACACACACACACACACACATATTTCTTTTTAATCTTCAGACCTGAGCAGGGGAGATGGTTTAGTGCTTTGTTTGTTTGTTTGTTTTTTAAGACAGGGTTTCTCTGTGGCTTTGGAGGATACCCTGGAACTAGTTCTTGTAGACCAGGCTTAGTGCTTAAGAGTACTTTTTTTTTTTAATTTTATCTTATTTTTAATTTTGTGAGGTAGAGTATATGCATATCCACAGGTATCCACGGAGGCCAGAGGAAGGTGTCAGAATCTCTGGAACTGGAGCTGAGGTAGTTGTGAGCTGGCTGATGTGGGTGCTGGGAACCAAACCTAAGTGTTCTACAAAAGCACTGAGCCATCCCTCCAATTCCCAAGGGCACTTTCTTCACAACTATGAGGAACTGAGTTTGTATCTTTGTGCTCACATGTACACACATACACACACACACACACACACACACACACACCTTCAGACCTAGCCTGCACCATGGCTCACAGCTGTAATCGAAGCACTCAGGAAGAGACTGAGGCAGAAATGTATCAGGGCTCAGCCATTAAGAGCACAGGCTGCTCTTCCAGAGGACAGGGGTTCAATTCCCAGTACCCACACAGCAGCTCACAACTGTCTGTAACTCCAGTTCTAGGTGATCTGACACCCTCATAGACACACATGCACACTTAAACACCAATGCACATAAATAAATAACCATTATAAAAAGAAGAAGAAAGATGCTTGCGTCAAGCATCTGTCAGCAAACCCTGGCTCCTCGGCCTCTGAAACGCCTGTAGGATCAGATACTTTCCAGCAGCCTGGGCTGGCCATCACCTTCTGGCAGCTGGTGTTTTTACTTCCTTACTGTGCCTGTGCTGCCTTGACCACAGCAGACACGGTGATTATGTGAAACTGTGAATCAGAACAGCTCACACTTCTGTCCCCAGCTCTCTGAGTCCAGAGTTCTCCCCATGACTTTGATCTGGCCGGTGCTTTCCACTTTCCCTTGTGCTCTCTGGGGTCACCTCTCTCCGTACTCTTTCCCTACACCACCAAACCCCTTCCCACCCCAGGACATTTGCCCGGCTGTTCCCTCTACCTTCTTTACAAACCTAGCTGGCTCACTCAGTTTACACAGAACTCAACTGCCTCCTTCTCTTGACACTTCCCTTGTCCCATCTATGTAACACAGCCCACACACTCAAAAATCCCTCCCAGCTCCCTCCCTCCCTCCCACCCACCCTTTCTTTAATCAAACCCAGTGTCTCCTCCATGTTAAACAAGCACTTTGCCTCTGAGCTGTAGCCACGCTCCCACCCACCTTTTGAGACAGGGTGTTCTTGCTATGTTATTGTCTTGTCTTGAACTCACTATGTAGTATGGGCTGGCTTTAAATTTCAGGCCTGTGCCTCAGCCTCCCAAGTGCCTGGGATTACCGTGCTGTGCCAGCACGCCGAGCTACCACCCTCCCTTTTCTGCCTCCCATGTTTAATTGTATTTGTTTCTTTACTGTCGTCCTCCTGTAGGGATTTTGGCAAAGGAGAGCAGTTACTCTGTTGTTTGTGTCTGCATCTCCCGAGCTTTGAACAGGGCCTGGCACGTGGAGGTGCGTAGGACATTCTGATGAATGAATGAAGTAGCCTTTCTTTGTCATTTCAACAATACCAGTATATCTTAGGTGGTGAGGAAGTGTTCACGACGTTAGGGGCTGGGTCCTAGTTGGTATATGGGAAGGGGCAATGGGCTTGAGCTCAGCCTGTCGGGAGTCTTCCATACCAGCCTAAGGAGAGGCAATTTAATCTTAAGGTTTGTAAGCAGCAGACAGGCAGTGAGTATTTTAGGAAGATCAACCCCTCCTGGGTGTGGCAGCAGGTAAGGAGCAGTGACAGCAATCCAGAACAAAGAAAGACCTGGGAAAGAACTGACCTGACCAGGGGGTAGGTGGCTCTAAGATTCTAACCAATATTCCGTACCAAAGCTCAGTGCTGAGTGGCAAGTGGGTTAGCTGAGGGCTAGGGATAGATAGGGTCCCACCCCTGGCCCCAGCAGACCCACGCTCCTAACCTGCAGGTTCAGTGTGACTCGATCGTACTCGAAAACACGGATGCCTGGATTGTTGGCTCCATTGACCACTCCTGGTAATGTGGTCTTCCATGGGGTGACCCCCGGTACGAGGAACATGACGCTTATGGGGGCACCTTTAGGGGAAAAGACAACAGGCTGAAAGGGACTATGGGAAGAGGAAAGTTGCAGGCAGGCAGTTCCCTCAAGATGGAGTACCTGTATTGTCATAGAACATTCGGAAGCTGTCAGTATGGTGGTGCCCAAAGAACTGCCCAGCTATAACACGATGGTGCCTCTGGACCACCTTCAAGTACTCCTCGTTGAAGCTCTCTCGGAACCAGGCCTTGTCCTGTGTCTTCTCGAAGAACCCGGGGGGCACGTGGCCAATAATGTACACCTGCGAGAAAGGCACTGGGATTGGAGACGCTCTCTCCAGCCCCCTTTACCGCCTCCCAAAACCTGCCCATGTCCTCAAGGGCAGGTGGACCGGCTCAAGTGCATCTCCTCTCTCTGAACATAACTTCCACAAACCCTTCCTGATCCCTCAAAGGGTGCTCTTCTCTTCTCAGAGCTGGGACTGATCCTCCACGGCTGTGTGAGAACACTACATGGTCGTGTGCATCTGTGTTTTAAGTTCCCCTTGGCACCATTTCAAAAACGTAGAACGAAGGCAGAATTAAGAGCATGCGCTGGGCTGGAGAGAAGGCTCAGTGGTTAAGAGCACTGACTGTTCTTCCAGAGGACCTGAGTTCAATTCCCAGCAACCACATAGTGGCTCACAACCATCTGTAATGAGATCTGGTGCCAGCTGCCCTCTGCTGGCATGCAGGCAAAAGATTGCATGCATAATAAATAAAATCTTAAAAAAAAAAAAAGCATGTGCTTATCAAGGGTGGTGGTGCACACCTTTAGTCACGGTACTTGGAGGAAGAGACAGGTGGATCTCTGGGAGTTCAAGGCCAGCCTGGGCTACAGAGTGAGAAGTGTCTTAAAAGGATAAGGAATATGACTGCAGCTTGGCCACCAGCCAAATGTCGTCTCCCTGAGCTTCAAGTTTATCACTGGGAGAGTATTCACCTGGGGGAGTGTACTGGCTTGTTCTGTGTGTCATCTAGACACAGCTATAGAGCCATCAGAGAGGAAGGAGCCCCTGCCCTCAGCTGAGGAAATGTCACCACGAGATGCAGCTGTAAGGCATTTTCTCATTTAGTGATCAATGGGGAGAGCCCAGCCCACGGTGGGTGGTGTCATCCCTGGAGCTGGTGGTCCTGGGTTCTATAAGAAAGCAAGTTACGCCGGGCGTTGGTGGCACATGCCTTTAATCCCAGCACTTGGGAGGCAGAGGCAGGCGGGGCTCTGTGGGTTCAAGACCCGCCTGGTCTACAAGAGCTAGTTTCAGG